ATATATATAATAATGATGAACCCCTAATAATATTCAAATATTAAAACGAAAAAAATAAAACGAAAAAAAATCTATAATCATTTGCAGTTTTAAAAATATTAAAATATTTTATACATTTATTAACCAAAATAAAATTTTGCCAAAAAACATGCACAAACAGATGTGCAGGTGACTCACAATGGGTCTCACAAACCATAGTAATCACTGACCAGCACAGATTCCTTCAGCAAAAAAGTGTCTATAATTTATACAGTTCTTGACTGAACAACAAATGTGAGATAGTCATTTGGAAACTGACCTTAATAAAATACAATTCATTTATTTTTAAACTTGCCTTTGATAGTAGATTTCCCAACTAAATTAATGCTCACAATATTGTTTCTTATCATTTTAAAGAATTAAGTAGACAGAACAATTGCACTTTCTCTATTAATCATAAATCTCTGAACCACTGCTTTAACAAATAAAGTTTCATTTTACCTACACAGAAAACAATAACATGTATCTTGGAGACACCTCTATTCCTTCCATCAAGCAAACTTCTACAGAATCAAAAATAATTTCACCCAAATAACAAGAAAAGTTGGATTTTAAATACTTTGACGTTCTGTTCAGTTTGTCAAAAACCTAGTGTAAAATAAAAGGTTTATTTTAGAAAACAGGTGCTTGTCATATCCACATATTACCAATAAATACTGTACGCCTACTTATAGTACCTTGTGGATCAAAACACTATACTTTTATTAGATATTAATTAATCACATGCTTACACTCATAGATGAACCTTTTCAGGGCTAAAAATTAATTTTAATAAAAAAAGTCATTGTGTTATTTAAATATATAATTCTCAACTAGAGCAGTAGATAATATTTCAACAATAACGTAATAATGTGATATTAAAAACTTAAATCCAAGTTTGTGCAACTGATAAAAAATGTTAGGGGCAATTATTAAAAATTGATAAGCTGATTTACAATCACTAATTGTTAAATTACAAGGTATTGAGAACTGAATGGTTTTGAGAGCTAGCAATAATAAACCAAGATTTTCAACACACATTACTTAACGACGTAAGTGCAGGCACATTGTGAAATGTTTTGCAATGTTTTGCAACCTATAACTGCTGAAACACTTCTTAATACGGACGTTATACATAAATTCTATGTCAAAGTGATTTTATTTCTGGGCTACGTGTCGTTGTTTTATCTCTACGTGCATTTTCCATTCCTTTAGTAATTCTACAAAACACGCCGAATTGTCTACTTACAATAAATTCTCGGCGCGATGCGCTCTTTCCTACTGACACTAAATATGACTTCAACAACTACAAACACAAAGACGTAGAAAACCATGAATATTTCAAGTTGAAATATTCATTACATTCCACAAATACGTGGTTTCCATACAAAATTGTCTGAAGCAGTGCGGAGTTTTAAGGTTAAGGTCCAATGGCAAGGCTTGTCTTGTTGCCATGGAAACCAAATACCACGCGCTAACAGCAACATTGCAACGAATTACGTCAAGCTGAACGAATGTCAGGAGAGCAACTAAAGTAAAACTCAGCTAGTTTTAATGCAATCATGTGAACATGCATCCGTTCTATTAAACGTTTCGAACCTTTTTTTTTCATTCAATATTTTCTTGTTGATATAGCAGACACGTCAAGAAAGCAATCGTTAAATTCATCCTGCCTGACATTGAGTCAGAGGCGCCCAGAGGAAACAAGGGTCTTGGGGGAGTAGATCTACAGCACTGGGGCCCCTTACCTCTTATATTATTATTTATTACCATTGTTTGCAAGTGATTTATACATAATTATACAAAATGTATTTAAGTATTTACATTTTGTACAATTTTTAGGGCCCTCACTAGTGTTTACAGAAAATTGCCCCAGCTGCCCTCCCTCTGAAAACTGTCCACAGCGAATAGCCTGCTGATTTATAAAGCTATGATTAGGTCCATTATGAACTACGCCTGCCCAAGTTGGGGAATAGCGGCGCACACGCACTTGAATAAGTTGCAAATAGTACAAAATGCATGCCTCCATTGCATACTGAGCGCGCCACTTTATATCAGTCTCAGAATTACACTCATTAAATCTAACGCTCCTCGAAGCACACTTTAAAAATTTAGCTAGTGACTTCTTTTCCAAAATAAACGCATCAAATAATGACCTTATTAAAATTTAACTTTGTATGAGACGGGTCCCACGGCCACGTATAAGCGCCCGAGGGATGTGCTACAGTAGGCGAAACGCCAATACTTGCACGAAAATTGCGGTAAACAACGCCAAAAGCGCGCCGAACGGCTATTGTCTTTCCTGGCCTTGTTCTTTTTCTATTTTACAAATCAGCCATAGATGTCCGAAAGGATAGGAATAGCTTCATAGCAGCGACGTGTGTCGGCATTGCACAACGCGGCCACATACACTGCGCTGCAAAGCTACGGGTACCTCCCTCTGAGTGCTCAAGCATAGATGTACACGTAATAGAACGTGCCTAGCTTCGCACGTTTGTATCTTGTCGTAAATGTTACAGAAACTTAGTTTACACACACGAAGTGTAAATGTAGTTTATTTAGCTCATCATAAGATACGTATCAATACAGTGAAATGTTTCTTTTTTTATTGAAGACAATGGGTTTTATTTTATCAAAAAGAAATTAATAGGAATATAGTTTTCTTACCGGGAAATGACAATTTTTGCTCCTCCTTTCGCATAACCAACCTCACGGATTTTAAATGTGAAGTGGTGTACTTTGCTACCGTAACAGAGCTAGGTGTATAGGTGTAAGCACTTTCAAGGAATATTCATGAGTGAATAGTTCTTATTTACAAATCAAACCTTTATTGTGTAAATAAAGATTTACTGTAGTTTTATTTCCTATCATTTTTGTCACTACCATCTTCACCTTCACAATTCAGACAGTTCTTCCTGGTCCTTCTCCCATACTAAATCATATTCTGAACCATGTAATGGAGGCCTGCACAACGCCTGCTCCCGCGGGCATTCCGCGCTTACGAACCAGCCGTCTGCCCACCGAGAGCAGCTAAGTGCGAGTGGGGAGAAGCCGGAGCAGGGTCAACGCAGCGCGAAGATTAAATGCCTGGCTGTTTAATGCAACGATCCATGCTGTGAAATGATTGGCTCACTTATTTAAACGTGCAATCTACCGCATTTCTAAATACAAGGGCCATATTTCAGTTTTTGTTCTTTGCACCGCTGCGTATCGACATATTTTTATTTTTAATTTTACCTTGTCATTGTAACTCAGGCTCTTAACAATTTATGTAATTTTAACAAAAATTTACAATTTTTTAATTGATTTTTTACCGGAAATATTATCTCCAAACCGAGGAAATTAAGAACAGTCACCCACATCAAGATTGATATAAAAATGAAATTAGGCATTTTGAAGAAAAGTAATGCTTGGCAGCCCATATATTTGTGATCATTTTCCCTCTTTACGAAGCTGAATAAGACATACAAACCAACAAACCTCCTACGATATTTTGGGGGCAATCATGACATTATTACGAGTCTTGTTAAGTAGTTCGCTAAGGACATTTTTTATACAATGTTGTAAACGATTATGAATACATAATGTTGATTTAAAATTAGAAATATGTAATAGAATGATATATATTTACAACTACATTGTAGCAAAGCAAATTATGTTATCAGCCCTACAAGCAATCATAAATACTGGTACCCAAATCAAATATGCATGTCTAATTTGTTTTAGGTTCATTGTCATACATCAACAACAAACATTTCAAACATAAAAAGTAATGATACTTGAACTGTATGTTATAGTCCATCATATTCTCACAATTGCTTTTTCAATTTATGGGCTAGGATTGAATTGAGCATTCTCATTCTCAGTCCCTACTTGGGTTTGCACTAGAGTTGCTCGCGTACGGCTCCCGAGGTCAGTCAAAGTGCAAAATGCTGCGCAGGCCTGATGTAATGAATTCAATATGAATCACTTGTTTTTATCCTTTTCAAATGGATTCACTCAACATCCTACCCCAAGCAGTCAGCCCTAGCATGAATTCGTCTTTAACATCCTTACTGGGTGGAGTGCAATTCCTCTTTTTTCTATTCCACCTATTGTGATTTTTGGAAATATTTTTTTAAAGTAGTATTTTCACCAAAATTGGTATTCCCTGATCAGGCAGATATCACGAACTCCTTTATTTTAAAAATGCATTATTTCATTTTTTTTTTTTTCCATTTAACTTCAAGGACATTTTCAAATTGTTCTCAAAAACTGCTCCACATTTTTGTTTATCAAATACAGCAAAGTATGCTCATAAAAATTGTGGTTTAATTTTCATTCAATTCTTTTAATATTTGAAAATCGCAAAAGCTTTAGTAATAAATTTCTTAGAACCTATTAATTATTTTTGTATTTAAAAATTATGATTATCTATTGTTAGTGTTAATATAAAATTTGTTACCAAAATCATTTATATTTTACTAAACAAATGAAAAATTGATTTGTAATGGTTTTTCATATCATTTAGAGACTAAACACTGTTAAAATAGTAACACACACAAAAAAGCAGTACTTAATGGCCTGATTTTAACAAATGGCAGCAATTTCAACATGCAACACTTTCAGAGGGGCTTAAAAATCTATGTCACAAAATCTTCTGAATTACCAAAAAGAAACAAACATTGATACATATGAAGATCAGGATAGTGTCAAAAACCATGATAGTTCAGAAATGTCTGAACATAATCAACAATGCAATTATCTAGTCAATAAGACAATTTGAAATTTTATTTAGAGTAAATAGTAGGAATGTTAAAAATTTTAAAAATTCTCAGGAGGCATCTTCAAATTTAAGTGGTGGTTATATTCAATGACTTATATTGGAGCAAATACAGTACTAACTTCTTAGAAAAATTTTAATCTAATTTAAAAATATATTTTCTTACTACAATTTCAAGAAATCTAGAAAAAATAGACAAAAACTGGGCACATACCATTTTTATTACTCTACATTGCTCAATTTAAAACAAATCAACAATTTGAACTTATTTTCACTTTCTCATACTTCCTAACATAAGAAGAGAAAGTATTGTAATCTTGTGCCAGGTGTACCAACACTTATTGCCAGGTGCTGGTAAGGAAAAATTGGATAAATTCAGTTGCTCAATATAAAAAAAAATCCTCTAACAATTGGTGTAGCCAAAAACCCATGTTTTGTACGTCAATACCGAAAAATCGATTGGCGTCGTCCATACCAAAAAATCGTCTGTCCATCTGCACATTAACCATTCAGCCAATTTTCTCAAAAATAATATTATCCAATCGTTCTATCGGATGTTGCAGACCCTGGAATTTTAAACATTTTAATTTTGGGAGTACTTTACATGAAGCCCTTGAGACATTTTCAAAAAAATTGTTTCCAATTTTTTTTTATACCATTTTATTCTTAAATAGTGCAAAAGACAATTAAGAGAATGGCGCAAGTGTCATTTTCATTGATATTCAAAATTTTTAGAAAATTGGAGAGAAAAAAAGAAAGTTTATGATTCCAAAATTGAAGATTGAGATTTTTGCCTCAGTGTTGTACAAAATTAGCTCTTCAAAAACTGTAATGTACAATGACTTTGAAAAAACGAAGTTTTGCGTAATTTCTGCATGAAATTAAACTTGTACAGGTTTCACACCAACTACAGAACACCTTCCTTATATCGCAAAGATTGTGCTTTTAGGAACAATTAATAAGAAAATATTTGCCCATTGTTGGCAGCGCCCTTTGCTGCATGCACGCTTTGTTAGAACTCATTGTCCAAGATGCGTTGATATACACAAATGTGGAATAATATTATTACTTAACTGTTACAAAGGGGGCAAAATTAAGTACCTACAAAAACTGAAATATTCATTTCAAACCCACAGGGTTTAGAGTTGGCCAGATCAATCAAGGAATACTAATTTCGGGGAATATCGTCTGAATGGTTTAGGCTCTAGCGCTGTTCACTCGTTTTGCCATCAGTCAATTTGTCCTTATCGAGGACCAAAATATGGAATCCGAGTACACTGTTACATGAAGTTACTTATCATATAAAGGAAGATTTTTTTTCAGTATCAGGGCCTCCCTGGTTGGTGGAACGCTGGACAATATTTTCAATTAATTGATACAAAATTGGCACGAGATGTGAAAGCCATTTTTGGAACATGTAAACTTATCTAATATTTATTATTCTCTAAAGTAAATTAACAAGTACCTTCTAATTAGATATCCATTGTGAATCTAAACAGCTCAAATCGCAAAAAATGAACAACTGAGTTTTTGAAGCCACTCTCTCAAACTCTGGATGAACATGGCATGTACCGGTTACCTGAATACAGACTAACAGTAATGGTACATAAACTTACACATAATAAAAATCTGGAAATCAAACTATGGGAAGTAAGAAAATAATTTATTTTTAACAAGAACCAAATCCTCGTTGATCAGCCTTTATTAAAGTGAAAAATCAATACAAGCAATCCAACATTTGTAAATTTCCAACCCATACTCAAATACCATTAAGATGCAAGGCTGCGTCTTGAGGATTTTTAATCAAATTTAAATTAGTGTTGTTTTCTCCTGAACGAACAACCTGCAACAGAAAAGATAAATTTAGAATATTGTTTATACTACTCCATGATCCTACCATAGTAACAACAATATTGGGTAGGATTAAGCCACAAAGAGAAGCACGAAATGCTCCTTTGAATTACTCCAGAAGAATATTTAACTCTTGAGGTTAGTTTTCTAAAACCTTGATAAATTTTTGAAAGGTTCACAGCTAATTTGTAGTTTGCACATTCCTTTTCCAATGGTACTGCACCTTACTAAAATTAACATGAATGCTACACAAACATTTATTGTATAATAAGAAATATTCTTCAGACACTTCATGCTCAAATTTTGTATACAAGCACAAAGTCCAAGGTTACCATACAAGTTACCCAACTATGAAACTAAAAAAGTTTGTCATTTTAGTAGTAAGTTCTACAAATTAAGCAGCGGAAAAGTAACTACTCAAGATATGTAACTTATGATACATGTGGCTGTAATTTACCCGATTTTGACAAGATTGTAGGTTACATACAATAGATGTTGAAGATATGTACGTTACATACAATAGTACAAAATATAGATTTTTGACAGGCCTGCATTACCTCAAAAATCATAAACTTTTTTCCAAATCCAACCACAAGTCACCTTTAATTTTAAGGGAATTTATAACAAACCATTGTTATTAAATATTGCTCAACTCCTTACAAGATTTGTAATGGGTCTCTAAATTAATCTTTGTAACCGATTTGAGCAAATAGCAGTGCTCACGGAAAGTCAACCACCACTTTGCACTCATATCTAATAGAGGGCTTGACACTGAAATATTAGGCTTCAGCTCGCATATATAGTTCCATTCCACAGAAATTTCATTTTCCTTCTGAGCTCCAAAAGTCTATATTTTACAAGTGCCCACAACTGGCGTAAAGAACTGGTAACATCTACAATCAGTGCAGTCATGACCCTGGTTCGAGAGGCATTGAACAAGGGTGGCAAAAATTAGAATACTCATTTAAAACTTTAAAAAAAAACAAAACAAAATTTATAATAGATGTAATCAAGCTACTCACTTTTATCCCTGCGAGTTAGTAAAACTACATAGAAGTATAACAATAGAGACAAAGTTTTATATTTCACTGGTCCAGTGGTGGCCTATGGTCATGGTATTAGGGTGTGCAACGCCCCTCTCCCCTTCCACACCCCCCTCTCTCTCTCTCACACACACACATTCAATCATTAACATAAAATATAACTGTTAAACTCAAGACATCTTTTAAAGTTTGATAGCATGCTGAACAGTTCCTTTTATTAGCAGTAGGGATTGGCTGCATTTCTTTTCAGAACTGCTTCGACTGTTCGTCAAGGACCCCTTCGAAATATTTATAACTTGGGGTCGCGTTACTGCATGATGACTTCATTCCAGAACGTTTTTTTCCAAAGGACATCAAGAGCCACATGTTAATTCAAAACTTTTTTAGTCTCACATTTGCTGAGTATTTTCTCTTAGCTCAGAGTACAAATTTATGGTTGAAAGTACAAGTTTCCAAACCTAATACTCAGAAATTATCTTATTTCTGCATAGAATTTGAAAATAGATTATTAAGTTAAAGACTTCCTCCATTAGATGAATTGCGAATGTGCAAAGTGTCTGTAGAAAGTTTGATCACTTCGGTTCAAGAAGAAAGCGACTGATAGTGATGATGACAATGGCAATTGTAATGTGCCTAATTGTGCAGAAGTAGTTTCTGCAATAAACACCACAAAAAAAATTTTTTTTGCAGCAGATAGTGAAATCAATAGTTTTGACCTTGTGCATGAACTTGAAAAGCAAGTTGAAAGAATTCACCAAAAGGCAAAACAGTCATCTATATTAGATTTTTTAACAAAAGATTACAATTTTCATATTTTGATGTAATATAAATATGTAATTTTCAAATATTGAATAAAAGTGGATTCTAAATTTTCAGTATTTTATTGCACATGCAAAAGAGTTCCTTGTGTTTACACTTTCCAGCGATACACCATTTTTTGTGGTCCCTTGAAAAGTAAGAGGGGATCTACTATACATTGTAAAGAATGTAAATAGTGTAGACTAGTTATAACTTACATTCAAACTATTTACAACAAGATGTCTGAAGATGGCTACAAGGTAGTAGCCGAAACATCACGCCAACATAATGTAGTGGAATAAGATCACAATAGAAGTATAAATAAATCTGAATGTCTAAAATTTTAAGAGGAACTTGTTTTTACTAATAAGACTAGACAGCCATCAAGAGAAGAAAAAGGTTAATTTCCATTGCACCCCAATAATATTTGTATTCATCTGTATCAGGTCTTGATTTTTCAGTGTAAATATATATATATATATATATATATATATATATATATATATAGAGAGAGAGAGAGAGAGAGAGAGAGAGAGAGAGAGAGAAAAGCAATAGCTCATCCGGGGGGGGGGGTTAGGGAATATAGGTCTTCACCCCCCCCCCCAAGTCAATGACATTAAGAAATGCCGCAGCTTTTACTAATTTTTATGTACTAACGAAAGTCATTCAATATATCAATTGTTAACAAAGACCGTATTACAATTTCTGTAATATATCATAATAAAACCATAAGGTGGCTGGACACTAAAATTGTTGCCTCCCCCTGTGCAAGATATTGGTCAATGCCAAAAAATAAGGTCTCTGATTTAAAAACTGGGAAGCTGTTACCTAGACTTGTGAGAGAAAATCAACTTCAGGACACTATTGATCTGCCTCCTACATATAATTTAAAGATGGCTTTACCAAATTTAAAGGAATAATTGACATAGCCCGGCGACAGTGATCTTCTGGACACCCTTGAAATTGGGTTACCTGAGTAAATAAAGTATTGGAGAAGACCCATATTGAAAAGTGATATTTGAACATCTTCAGTTTTTATTATAAACATTTCAATACTTATACTTCTGTCGATTTGAACTTTATGGCCACCACCCATATATCACTTCAAAAGCTCAGTGGTTACAGAGCTGAAGTAAGAAGCAGGAATATAGTTCAACTTCTAGCTTCTGCAGAATTTTTGCCTTCTTCAAAGGTGCCATCCAGCAAATTATTTTGTTAAGGACAATGCAAATATCGGTTTAGTATGTCATTTCAGAATGCAAAGGTTTAACTGAAATGTTAATCTAAGAAACATACAAGGCAGCACATAGTCTAACAAACATTTGAATTTTGTAACGTATTACAATACGCAAGATAAGCCTACAATAAATAATATTACATTTAAGTACAAACCTTCTGTTAATCTTGCCCTTCCTCCTGTTGGTTGACAGAGAATAGTGGCACAGCCAGTACATACTACTACGCTCTGTGCATGACTAAAAACTGTAGTGATCTTATAACAACCTGAAAAACAAAAATACTATTCCATAAAGTATGTAAGATTATATAAAATAAAACTTTCCTAAAACACCATGTTCAAGAATTTTAACTTAACTATTAAAATTCACTTCATGAAGATTTATTTAAAACACACATTCTCATTCAATTAAGAATAGATTCTCATGGGTGATGAGAAGCTGATATAAAAAGCAAAATGTTTCAGACAAAAAATTAGTTCCAATGAATCATTTCTTAATGTTACAAACCAATACTAGAATTAGAAAACCAGACAATACAAGTTTTCACTTAAAATATAGGAAGTCCTTGTAACTATAAATATAGAAGAATTAAACTACCACTACACAGTACATAATATTGCAGGATTGAACTTTCTTTGAAGTGCTAAGTTAAAACATGTACAACTAACGTCTACCAAGCATGTAAAACTAGTAAAACATGCCCACAGTTATGTAGCAAAAAGAGTAATATTAAATAACAAAACATTATCTAGCTTAGACATTCCTAACCTAAATGAAATGGCAGAATGCTTGGTAATTTATACCATGTTTATAAATACAATGACTGAAGACAATTCTGGAGAGTAATCTATGAACCATATTACAAAATACTTGGGGAACTTCAACATAATTCCACAAAAACTGTTTCGTAAAACAAGTTACCAAAGAACATTCACTATACTTCATTAGAAGTTCAAATCGTTTCTGAAAGCACTACAAAATAGTATAACAAATCACCAGACTTCTTCCCCAACAACACTCAAGAAACACTAATATAGCTCAGTGGAGGCTTAAATTTTATTCATTCCTTATCACCTTGCCTTCTTGTTCTTATGCACAAACCCGTTCCTAGATGTGAAAAGATCTGAAAGACTTCTTCAATAAAAATGAAATTGGCTGGCAGAGGCCTACAGGTTACATCAAATTCCATACAAGAGGTCAGTAGGAATCACTGGTAGGTAACAATCTACTCTGGTGGTAGGTGCACCACAAGGGGTCCCCAGTTTGTGCACAATTAGAAGATTACAAAAACTATCCAATTAAAAGTGAAAACAGGTTGCAGAAAAGGAATTGGTAGGTCATCAAGAGAAGTAAACTAAAAAATTTGAGACTATTCCAAAAACCTCCACTTGATTTCATGTACTATTTGAAAATGAACCTGGTTTCTGTATTCTGTACATACTATCAGTAGCACAAAGTAAACAACAATATTAAAAGCTCCCAGTAAAACTAGTTGAAATGTTTTCCATCCGTACTCCTTAGGACAATTCACATACCAAATACCACTCATTCATTCCATAAGATTCAGCTTCTCACAAAGTCATGTGAAAAATTCCAAACAGCATAGAAAACAACAGAATTAGAAGGCTCCTAATGTAAATATTGAAGCATACTTAACTACAATTTGACAAGTTTTGAAAAATAAATTCTAATGGAAATGTAATGCATAGTTATTTTGCATTATATCTATTAGTTGCAAATATAAAAAACTAGATGTAAAAATACTGGTGTCATATGAATTTCTCTTTTAACTAAGACAATAATACAGACAAAACATTCAAATATTCAACAACTTATGCTCTTCCCCTTTCAGTTTAGAGTTATACCCAAACCACTTAAAGCAAGCACAGCATTGTTCCAATTAATCATGAAGTTACAAGTAAAATAAGGTTAAAATGGGTATTGAAAAAATGAGCTTTAACTCAACCCAAAACAAGTTTTAAGTTACAACATTCAATCTAAAATACCATGCACTTTAGGATTAATAAGGATTTTCAAGAAGTTCAAAAATTCTTCCAATAAATCAAAATAAAATAATTTATCAAGTAAAAACCATTTACCAGGGCATTTTACATCCATAAAATACGAATTAGGTTGCTGCACAAGCCGCTTTAGCTTGTGTTTCCTCTTCTCCTCAGCTGGCGAGGGATGCAACAAATCTTTAGCAAGCTGTAAAAGAAGATCATGATATGTAATGTTGTGCAACTTTACGCCATTGACAGAAACTAAAAAAAAATGAACAAGTAACATTCTAACAGTCTGCAAGTTTACGCAATAACTCAAAATGCTATTCTTTAAAATTTTAAATAAATTTCTTGGGGAAAAAAGTTGCTGGTACCCCCAACACCACGGTGAATGGGTGAATGTGAATGATCATCACAAAATCGAACCCATCTGATTCTAAATGTAAAACTAAGTAACGACATTAACGAGTTTCTCTGGATATACACGTTAATACACTTCCAACTGAAACAAGTTCGAACATGTGGATTCCACATGTGGCAAGTAACGCATTTTACAAGAGAAAAAACGCAAATGACAAACACTTATTGCGTACAATAATAGAAAAATATTTATTCCACCCACTTCAATTATCTATTAAAAATCACATTTGCATACATATTACTAAAACTAATCAAACACATCAAAAACTCACAGGCATGGTTGCAGGAATGGCGCACACCGGAAAGAGGCAAAATATTCAACACTCAAAGCAACTACATATACCGGAGGTGTAGAATTAGGGTGCGTTCCATTAATCTCTTTCGAACTTACTGCAAGTTCCATGACATAAGTTGACAGAGACGCGTTGACTTCAACAGACCATAAAGAATATCACATAAAAATAAAAAGGTTGTGAATTTTCATGATGATAACATTATTTATCCCAATTTAAAATAATTATCATTAAAATAATATGAGAATCTCGCACTTGATGCGAGGGCCTTGGCGAATAAAGATGTTCACAACACATGACTTAGAGGGCAGCACTATCGTCCATGAGTGGAAAGTGTAAAAGTTTGGAAGATACGGGCTAAGGTTTAATTACGAAGTCTGTAAGACTACAGACTTCATGGGGTTAATGGTTAAAATACGGTACACGGGTCGATTTTCTTTTAGAGTGTTGATGACTTTCTTCATGTGAAGTATTCCTATGCATTTAAGGACTTCATAAGTTTTGATTTTGTGTATATTCACGGTCTGTAAATGCGGGTTCCTTTTTCTTGAAAATAAAGTTGCCAGCGGTAGTGGACAGTGGCAAAATTGTGATGAAACCAATGAACAATGTTTAATGGAAGTTATTTAGAATACAGTTAATCCTCGATCATTTCACTGAGCTGAATGTCAAAATTAAAAATAGAATTTCCAATAGTTTCAAAATTTCTTTTGGGCAAAGCGTGGCTATACCATTTTAAAACACAATAACCATTTAAATTCTCTTTTTGGGGTTAATCAAAAGTTTCTCACTTGAAGTGACACTCTTGAAGAGCGTATTGTTTTAAATACTTGTAACCCATTGCTCGGTTTCTGGCGTAAACTTCAGTCACGATCTCCGTTGACTCCCAGAGATCAGTGAACCATCAGCAGTTCCGGCGGACTTAGGACCCCTTCTCACGTCGCCACCACTGCGCGCTTCTGAACGCCGCGGTTCGTAGCAACATTTCTACAGCATTCTACAGAATTGTTTCTTAAATTATAAAATTAAACACTAGACTGTGTCACCACAATATGACACCAGACCTTTCACTATAGTGCGGTTTTTATAACTCTGCCCTTCAAAGGTTAACATCACAGTAGCATTACAGTGAGAATTTTTTGACTGTGCACCTGATCCCTGTCTTAATGTTGGCGTTATGTTACTGCATTTCGGTTTTTTCTCGGTTGTGCCGCTAGATGTCGCATGATCGCGACTGTATCAACCCCTGCTTCATACGGTCGCGATATCTATAGAACAATTTTCTTAAGAATGATAAGGTGGGCAGTTCGCAAAACAATCGTGAACATCAGTGTACTTCAGAGAAGTAAACACGTGCACCGTCACGAGTATCACATTCCAAGACTCGATTTTAAAACAAACATAATACCCAGTCACCATAAAAACTAAATTCAAGTAAGTTTTATAAAAAAAAAAGTTTTACAGAAGAGCAAACCAAAAGCTTCTGCACTACAATTCAATATTCTCGTGCTGGCCACTATATTTTCGTCGACGAGAACATCACGCCAGCGGAGCGTCTCGTAACTATTTACAAGTTAGCCAACTGCAAACAAACGAATGGAGGAAAGGAAGATCTATAAAGTTCAAGGCACAACGACCCACAGAATCGTCAGTTTGTTTGCCAAGCTCTAGCTGTAAAAACCATCCCATTTCTTAAAGAAAAATCGGACCAATAGTAACACGATCGAGATGACGCACGCCCAGTGACATAATGTCAAATGCTTAAAGACAGGGCTCAGGTGTACAGTTAAAAAATTGCATATGCCACTATATTTCGTGAATGTTCTCGGCCGTGCCGCTAGATGTCACATGATTGCGACTGTATCTAACACGGTCGTGATCATGCGACACGACCGACGAAGACGCGAAATACAATGATATAATGCCACCTTAAAATGGGCCTTGAGGGACAAAGTAATGCATACGGCATTATAGTTGCATTTTTGTTCGCTTCTGTTCTTGAATGAGAAGGTTCTACAAGGCGCGTAATTTGTCTTGTTAGTGAAACGTGGTGTTTGCTAATTTCGTTAAATAATAGTTATTTGCACCAAGGGTGTCAAAGGGTTCTCGTGATCGAACGGTGACACAATGCCCGGAGGGGTTTTTTTTTTTTTTTATTTGTTTTTTTTTTACCCGAGATTATTAGAATGAGTTAACGTCCGAGGTACATACATAATTATAAAAATAATTATGTATTTATTTATTTACTAATTAACTAGACATTCACTTCACTCGGTTTGTTTTTTCATATTTCTCTCCCACAGTTCCCTTTCATAATTCTCTCTCCCTAAGAGAACATAAAACATCGTTTTACTGTTTTCATATTTCCCTCGTAACCACGATTCTCTCGATCCAGATAAGTGAACATCGAGCTTCGTATTGAAGGCAATAACAAGCTGTAAAGTATTGGTAAAAAGTTATATTGATTTTTATTACCACGTCGAACCAATACCACCTAGATAGAAGGCCTAAGCGCTAAAACAAAATGACGACCTCCGGGGGTAAAATCAGCAAAACCTAGTAGGTGGTGTTGGCAATAGCGATGTAGTAACTATCTGGCATAGAATGAAGATATTTATGCAACATATTTTATAGAGTATTATTCCTTTTTTAAATGCTTTGAATCATATCTTTGTAGGTTTACAGTTTAGTTCATATTCAAGAAGTTATATCTCAAAATTATTTATTACTAGCGTACCCGTGCGAGAACTCTCTCGTGTTAAATTCCACTCTATTCCCTATCTTTCCTTTTCCATTTTAAGACAAGGAGTTGTTAAGGAAACGTATTTACTAGTTTAAAAAAATTAAAACGTAACTTCCAATGTACTCATAGAATTAAAAAAAATAAGAACATTGAAATTGACGTTTGAAACAAATTTTGAATAAAGATTTATTCAGTGTAATAGACATATTATTGTAGCAATTCACAACACTTCCTTAAAAACAGCATTTGAAGTAATTATACAATTTTCTTTGACAGCTTTTCGCTTTCCTTCATAGTCACAACAATATTACAAAAGCTTCTTACCCTCGAGACAGCTACTTAAAGCATGAAGGCGAGAATAGGATCGGGTAAGTGTAACCCTACTTTTCGGAATATTATTTTAATTTATTACCAAACTGGGAGGTACACCCTTGCAATTTAATCACTTGGAATATCAAGTAATTACTTTCATTTCACATACAAATTCATATTCTGTAAATTACTGATAGTGCATATTCTGTAGGTTATACACAAACTTTTCACAGAAACAAGAATGTCAATATTTTCATTCCGATTAATGAATGGTCGCACTATACACATAAAAAGCAATTTTCATCGATATCAAGCAACTAATAGTACTTCTTGTTGCTGCGAGATCATTTAGGTTTATTTCCATAATCTTGAATTAATGATAAATGCTGTGGCACAAACCACAGTGTACACAGAAAGCATACATATAAGTTGAAATCTAAGCCTCCTAAGCGTGACGTCACAAACACAGATTGCCTCCAACGCCGAGTAATATAGTTGGTATTGGATGATAACAATAAGTGCCGGAGTAGCAAAAATGTAATAGAATATTCAATATCTTGTAGATTAGGGGGAAGAAATGTTTCTTTTGAGGCCCTGGCCTCAAAACTTCAAGTTTTAAGACCCTAAAATGCTTAGATTATGAGTTATTTGACGACACAAATTCAAAAATCTTGACAAGTGCAGCTGAGAGCATTCGATATGAATATTTAGATGCTTTTTGAAACAAATCCTTCATATTTTTGACGTCAAAGTGCAATTAGTCAAGTCTCCGTAAAATCATCTTTCGTTAGAGACATTATTTATCAAGATTGGTTGTGTTTGAAAGCCGCAATAGGTAGTGTATACTACTGAAATAATATAGAAGACTATTATTTTTATTTTATATATTATTAACACAAATATCCATATTATGGAAAAAGGATGCTTGATGTAAAATTACTCTGCTTTTGGCAAATTCATTGTAAGAAATGTGAAAATTGAAAATTATTTTATGCCATACATACTTTTCTTGAACGATGGATTGAAGAAATGCTGATAGGAGTATTAATTACGAAATCGGCCATTAGATTTTATAAAGCAATGCCAATCTCTGGAGAATCAGTCATGCCTTCTCAACTTTCTCAATAATTTGCGTTTTACACCTCAGGAGTTCGAGGTATCTCCTGTGATCGGTCTTTACCTGCTTCGGTCATTTCTTTTGATTTTTTGGAAAAAATAACGGACAGAAGTTCTCGTCTTCAACAGAAAAATGTTTCTATTTCGCTCCAGTGAAGATGTGTTTGGAATGTTGTCATCAGTGCTCGCTGCGAGCTTTTATCTTCAACTGTTTACTGTGTCAGAGAGGGGAAAGCAAGGACATCAAAGTTGCGCGAGTAATATCACACATCGCAAGCTCTTCAAAAGACCTGAAACGAACGGAAAAAACACTGCGAACCATAGAGTAGAGATATATCTCTTCTCTATGCCGCGAACACTATGCGCGAAACGAACACCACGTGCCATTCAAAGCACGGAGTCGCCCATGGAGTCTGCCATATTGCCCTCCAGAGATAACACTGCTCAGGCCTTCTATCTACCGAACACAATAAGGGAAGCAGTTTCCGATGCGTCAGGTTTCAAGCATTTGGAGGGAAAATCAATCAGAAGTAGCGGGAAGAATGGTTTTGCATGTTTTAGAAAAATTAGTCGTCTGTGGGAGGTGGAAAAAATACTGTTGAATTAATAGGAGTCAAAGACAGAAGTGTTGGTAAAATGCGAAGTGAATTACAGGTCACTGAAAAGGTTACTACTTCATATATGAAGAGATGTAGTGCAAAACCGATGCATGGCGAGTGCGACGCATTTTTTTTTAATCTGATATTTGCATGCATGTGCATATTTTTTTCGTAGGCACGAACTGCCAACATTAATCAAATTCTAAATGTGATTAATGAACATTTGAGCTTTTTTTAAGTCTCTGTATATTATCGTGAAATCTGTCACCGCTACCATGTGAGGACACATCGTAAATGTAAGTACTCTAATAACACTGGTTTACAAAAATATATTTATTCTGTAATAAAAACAAAAGTTTCTGAAAGGTAACTTGCTTCAATCCAGATCTAATTTCAGAATTTTTTTATCGGCCTCAGTATTCATGTGATGATCGTTTCTGTAAATGCGTATGTCTCCCTATGTATGCAGTCAGGGCCGGATTTACCTACAAGCAAAACAA